ATGTTCAAAGACATGGACAACTGCAGACCCTGTGGTGCTCTGGGACTACACCCAATTTATCCTGTATATATTTTGCTTGTATATTGTCTCCCTCATTAGACTGTGAGGTCCTTAAGAGCATGGGCTGTCATTTACCTTTGTTTGTATCTCTAGCACTTAACACAGTGCCTGGCACATAGTAGGCACTTAATAAATGCTAGTTGAGGCTACAGGGGCTATGTTTAAGGGGCTCCTAGTCATGGCTAGCAGAGAGGATTCCCTGTAGATGCTTATCCAGACCTCACTCACCCACCCAGTACCTCAGGTAATGGGCTTGGCCACTAGCAGGAGCCCTTCCTATGAAGATGGAATGTTTCCCTAATAGTACAGGAATAAAGTTTAGAGCTTGAAGAAAGCTGAAACATAACCAGGGGTGGGGAACCTGTGGCCTTGAGGTCACAGGTTCCCAACTCCTGAAGTCCAACCCCTGAATTTTCAGATACAGACAGATGCAAAGGCTGGGAAGGAGAAAGAGGCTAGCTCAAGTAGTATCCCACATACCAAGTAGCAGAGCTGAGACTTGAACCCAGGTCTTCTGGTGCCAGATCCAGTGCTCTTTCTACCAAATTCCAAATTCTATCAAATTTCTTCCCAAGCCAAACAGTTTTGCCAATTAGTGGCAAGAAATTAGGCCAAGTCTCAGAGAAACTGAGCTTCAAGAAAGGCAAAAAATTGCTTGGTATGGAAAATATGACTGTGTCCCTTCACCAGTTCTTTAGCCTTTTTTTAGGTTTCTCCTAAACATCAGCTATGCCAGGGAGGCCAGAGTTGTCACTATGGGCCGATTTAAAAACAAAAGGACTGTATCTGCAAAACTAGCATCAGGCATATAGGTTTCATGCAGCAAGTATTGTACTATGTTGGATTCAGCTGTGGGAAAGGAGGGAAGGACCTACACAGCTGGAACTTTTATCTAAACCAGGGGATTCTTAATTTTTTGTGTCACAGACCCCTTTGCAAGACTAGTGAAGACTACAGACCCCTTCTCAGAAAAAACAGTTTCTTGCCTACATTCATAATAGGAGATGCTAAATTTCAGGTAGAGGTTGGTAGAAATTAACAAATTAAGATATAATTATTTTCACCATCCATATTCTTAGATCCCCTGAAATCTATCTATGGATCCCTTCAGGATCTGTTAAGAAACAGACTCCAGATTAAGAAACTCTGGTCTAAACTCCTGCCTGCTTGTAATTACTCTCTAGTTCCCTTGACCGTGCCCCATAATCTTCCAAATTCTACTCAGCCATCAAGTTAGGAATCTCTAAAAAGAAGAAAGTAGAAAAGAGTATAGGTTGGATTGATGCTGAAACATATTTCTCTCTATGGCTACAGAATACTGCACATACTGCGTAACATTACTGATGTATCATTTGGTTTTTCTTAGTTATTTCTCTTTGTTATTGTTACAAAAGCAGATTCTGTGGGGATGCTATTAATAAGAATCATATTAACTGACCTTTTAATTTTTTAATGTTTTAAGATTTTTGAAACACTTTATGCATACAATGAATCATTTGAACATTATAACTATACTGTAAGGCGCATGTTATAGGTCTTAACAATCCCATTTTACAGATAAGAAAATGAGACCCAGAAAGATTATGTGACTTGTCCATAGTCATACAACTACTAAGAGTCATAGTGGTAATCTGAATCAGGTCCTCTTGATTCCAAGTCCAATAGTCTATTATAGAGACAATTACATTTTAAAAAGGCATCGAGAAAACATTAAAAATTAAATTAGATTAAAAGTCTGTGTTGAGGTCTTGCCAGGGAAGCAGCTGAAAGAGATGGCAGGCTATTGTGAGGGTTCCCAGAGCAAACCTTTGATTTCTCCTTCTGGATCGTATACTGTGGGGTGAGATGGTAAGAGACACATTGTAATGGCGATAAGACATAACCCATCTTCGTAAATACCCCTCACCAGCTACAAGCAGCAAAAGTGACCCCATTTCTTACCCCTGACCCAGAATCCCTGAGATTTGAAGGGCAGCCCTCAGTCAGACAATATTATCAAATATAACTAACTTTCCTAATAGGACAAAAAGCTAGAGTTTCTCTTTGACCTAAGGAGGAGAATATATACTGACGGTACATTATGGGGGGGGGGGAGAAACTGAGGATTAAATGCTAACTCTGACATTTACTAGCTCTGTGACCTTGGGCAAGTCATCTAACCACTCTGGGCCTCAGTTTCCTAATATGTAAAATGAAAGAATTGGACTACATGTGCTGTAAGGTCCCTTCTAACTCTAAACCTTATGATCTTGCTTCTTCCCAGATCAAAAATGTTCCATATCTCTGAAGGCCTTTAAAAATAGGATTAAAAAAAAATAGGATTGGATCTCTTCCAGCAGAGAGGCGGGCTTATTCGGTGGATTCTCCTCAAATACCTGTTGACTTGACTTCTTTATGAGTAGATTTTGATAGGAAAATGGAAAAGAAGTTCAATCCAAGTCTCATCCTGCCACGACTCCATATGTTATTCACAATGAACTGTTCTAACGCCATCTAATAATTAAACTAAAAATTAAGAAAGGAAAAAGCTGAGTGGTGTAGAGGAAAAAACAATGGATTTGGGATCAGAGGACCTAGATTTGAATCCAGACTACATCTCTTACTAAGGTAAGAACAGGGGCAAACCATACCCCTCACAGGGCCTCAATTTGCTTTGAGAATCAATGAGATAACATGTAAATAAAAAGTGCAGGGCAAACCTCAAAGCACTAGGTAAATACTAAGCTATTGTTATTTAAATGAGAGGGTTGAATTAGATAATCCCTGAATTCCCTTACGGTTAAACAGTTATAATCCCATGGATTCTTGAATTCTGGACATTATTTCCATGGACTTTTCATAATAAATAGGGACCACCTCACAGTTCCCCAATCATTGGGCTCTTTGCCCTGGGCACTTTGAAAGAAACCAGCTTAATAGAAGTACCCAGGTTACAAGAGGGATGACCTGAATTCCAGCAGTCTTTGGCTGATGGGAGCCATTTTCCCCTAAAGGGGGGAGGGATCTAGAAAAGTCAGCCAGAATTGTCACCCCCCAGTGGAGGCTCCACATCCAACCAGAGTTTGAAGCTCTCCGGAGATGTTGAGAGCGAGCAACCGGGCTAAAAGAGACTTTTTCATATACTACTATATGCCACAAATCTTTGGCCTACATCAACCATACCACTCATCCTTTATCCAAAAGGGCAGACTGGAGATGTTAAAAGGAAGTTCAGTCTCTCACCCACTCTGGAACACATTAGCCAAGGACACAGCTCTTAGCCTTTTGTTCCCTCTATCCACCAACAAACTAAACACTAGGATTTCAATTTTGGGATAATCTCACCCAATGGAAGCTCTAGGGACTAAGGACCATAGAAATGGCTAGAGTAAGCTCTGTTCAACAGGCAATCTAGGGCTAGAACCTGACCCTTTGTTCTCTGAGTACCTAGGCTTGGCTAAAAGGGGGTGGAGGCTGGGTATGGGCTCACAGTGCCATACTGCCCAGCAGCCTGATTGAGCAGTGAAGAGAGTTAGGGTTGTGCAATGCACCACGGTGCCTGCCTGCCTGACTCTCCTCCCTGAACCTGAAGGATGTTAATCTCTTGCCTTCTGGATTGTGGGGGGGGGGGGGAGAGGAGTGGATGGAAGCAGCACTGCAGTGGTGAGTGAGAATGACACCCAGGTGTTCCATTCCTGCTATTCCTGCACAAAGTGCTGGAAATGTGCAATGCCAAGTTGCCATTAACCTTTCAAATGCCAAGACATTTAGCCTGCAAATCATGTCTATAAGGGGTAGGAAGGTATGGAAAGGTTATGAATTGAGGGACAGAAATAGGGACTCACTAGGGGAGACTGGAAAGTTTGAAAGTCATTCAAGGGATGAAGAAGGTATGAAGAGACACAAGCAGACTAAACCTCGAGAGTGGAGGATAGAATTGACAAGTTCTTCCCCTCTCCTCTCCCAGTTCTTCGTACTTTTATTTTTAATGCTAAGGGATAAGGGCGGGGGGGGGGGGACACGAGTTAATGAGGAATTCTCCCTGAAAATTAACCAGTCAACAAGGAATTTTCCCACTCAGCAGGCTGAGCTCCCTCCTTTCTCTCCCCTCCCCCCCACATACTCCTGGGGTGGGGAGGGGGGAGTGGGAATCGGCTCACCTTGCCAGTACGTGGTGATGCATGAATCATCTACCCTCTAGAGCTACTCCCAAATTGAATACCTATTTGCCAGGGTCACCAGCTTGGTGCTGCCAGGAGCCCCTCTACGTGAGAAAGTCCTCCTCCCACCCCACCCCGTTTCTCTCCGCAATCCACGCTGTCACAACAGCACCAATAATCTAGTTATTAGGAAGCTACTTTACAAAAGCAAAGAGGGCCTTTTAGGACACACTATGCCCAGGCCTGAGGTGTGGGGAGTGCTGAGGGAAGCGTGATGGGGAAAACTAAGACATATAGAAGGAAGCACAAAAATACATCTGACAGCAATAGCACATGGCCCAACCCTGGTCAGAGCTGCGGGGCAGGATCGGACTTTAGAACAATGGGGCCAGGTGTGAACGCCGCAAGCCGGAGAGACAGATGCCCCTACAGCTCAGTTCCTAAATCACAGCAGCTTGATAAGGGTAGGGATTCAAGTGAAGAGACCAGGTAAGAAACTGAGGAAGGATGAGGGGCAAGATAAAAGGGAGGATGGCAAAGAGCTGCGTGGGGAGGGGAATAGATAAGGATGGGAGGAGAGGAAAAGGGAAGGAGGACGGGATGGGGGATGGGGCAAAAATGGGGGAGAAGAGGTAAGAGGAGGGAGGAGGAGAAAAGGGAAAAGAGGAGGAAAAGGAAGGAAGACGGATAGGGAAGGGAGAAGAAAAGATAGGGGAATGGGGAAGGGACGGGGAGGGGAAGAGATATGGGAACGGGTGAAAGGGGGTTGGGGAAAGAGGAGGGAAGACCCTCAATACTCACAGTAAGTCTTCCTGGTCAGTTCTTCTACCACTTCAGGCTTTAACTTGCTGTTGGATTTCCCCATCCTCTGCAGCCACGTCCCCCGCCGGGCCCGAACCGACTAGGGCATAAACCCCGGAGCGGCTCCGGGCCCAGCCGGCTCTCCCCTGTCCCGCCGCGGGGTCTTGTCCTAGGCGGCCCTGCACCGGTTCGGAGCAAGGGACCGGCAGGCGGAGACAAGGACAGGGGTAGGGAGGGGGGGCTCTAGGGTGTCTTTGTCTCCAGCTCTCTCGGTCCTGGACCGAGGTCCTAGCTCGCTGAGCACTGCGCTCCTTGGGCTCCTGGAGGAACTCCGACTGAGGCCGGGAGCAGAGATCTGGAAAGGCTTTTACATCCCCAGCCCGCGGGGAGCTGGCTCCGCAGGCCCGGGGGCGGTAGCCTTAGTCCCTCCCCACCTACAGTTCCCAAATCCTGCCGCCCGCCCGCCGGGCTCTGCTCAGTGAGCTGGCTCTTGGAGGAGGCCCGGAGGCGCGGGGGCGCGGGGCTGCGGAGCCGCTCTCTTCTTCCTCCTCCTCCTCCTCCTCCTCCTCCTCCTCCTCCTCCTCCTCCTCCTCCTCCTCTCCTCCTCCTCCTCTCCTCCTCCTCCTCCTCCTCCTCCTCCTCCTCCTCCTTCTCCTCCTCCTCCAAGGGAGCTCTGTTGCTCTGGTTGTCCCTGGTTACTGGACTCCCTAGCACATGCTCCTTACGGCGGGCCCTCTCTACCCCTCTCTCTCTCTCTCTCTCTCTCACTCTCTTTCTTCCTCCCTCGCCGCCTTTACCAGCTAGTCCAGGCTTTGCTGCCGCCTAGAAGGAGGTGTTAACCCTAAGCCGTCAGTCAGCGCGGCTGCTCCGAGATGGCAGGGCGGGGTCCTTTCCCCTTCTCTCTACCTACTTATTGCCCCACTTCTCCCCTCCTCCTCCCCACCCACTCGCCCCTTTCATTTCCTCCCCTCATTCCTACCCATCCACTAGATTCCTTCTTTCTCTCCCTTCCTTCCCTTTGCACCACCTCTTCTCCTTTTTCCTGCTCATTCCTCTCTCCAGTCTCCTCCTTCTACTTTTTCTTTTCTTCCCCTGTGGCGTAATGACGAGTCAGGATTTGCAGTCTGGAAGACCTGAGTTCAAATGTCATTTTAGACACTAGCTGTGTGACCCTGGGCAAGACTCTAGCCACTTTACCTCTCTGGTGTTTCCCAGTCTGTAAATTTGGGGTGGGGTTGGGGGAACCGTTAAACACGATGGCCTCTAAGGTTAATAAGGTCCCTCCCAGCTCTAAATTTATGATCTTTTGATCTCCCTTTTCTCCCCTTCTCCCTTCTATCCTTCCTCTTCCCTCCTCCTCTAATAAAAAGACACCTCTCCCCCCTTTCTCCTAGTAGGTTAAGATCTTCTGACACTTACTAGTTGTCATAACTAATAGGCAAATCACATTTTGGTTCCACAGTAGAGTGGGGATCATAGCTGCATCTGTTTCACCATTGTAAACCTTAAAAACATGTAGGAAGGTAAATTGTTATTCCTTCCTCTTCTGCTCTTCTCTTCTTAATTCCCATCCCTCCACAGCTCCTGGGGAAGGATTGGGGAAGGTCAATCTCTGAGATAATTTTATGTCACTTTGCCCCATCTCTAGATAAATGTTCTTTCCTGGCTTACCTAAATGTTTCTGGGAAAGAGAAATCAGGAATCCCATAAGAGGCTAAGGAGATACTCCCCTCCCACCTCCCACTCCCAAATTCAGTCCAAGGTTACCCTTGCCAGACTGAAGCAATCATCCTCCATTCTCAATGCCAGTTTTGGTGTCTATCTCTCCACACACACTCCCTTAAACTGAGGCCTGACTCTTCAGTCACTGTATCTCTAGGTGGAATATCTCACCTGTGGAGAGGCTTGGAGCTTATGGTTAGTCAGGAAGGTAGCAATAGACAACAAATGACTGGAGAATACTTACAAATCATCACATCAATGAATGGAAATAATAAATAGGCTCATAGACTTAGAGCTGCAAGAAATCTTAGTGGTAATTTTGTTCCACTCTTTGGCTTTACAGATAATGAGAGCTTTTATAGAGTGCTTTAAGCAGGCGCTAGGTGGTGCACTGGTCCTGGAATCGGGAAGACTTTTTTTCTAAGTTCAAATCTGGCCTCAGACCCTTATTAGCTGTGTGATCCTGGGCAAGTCACTTTACCCTGTTTGCCTCAGTTTCCTCATCTCTAAAATGAGCTGGAGAAGGAAATGGCAAACCACTCCAGTATCTTTGCCAAGAAAACCCCAAATGGGGTCACAAAGAGTCAGATATTATTTTCAAGTGTGTTAGAGATTAGAAATGGAGATGTAAATGGACACTAACAAAGGACTCCTGCTATGTTAATGAAAACATGCTCAACATTGACATCTGGCAGGAACAATATTTATTTTGCCCATTAATCACCAAGAATCCCCTAAAAACTGTGGTGAAGATGGAATTCTTAAAAATAGATCAATGACTGATTTTTAAAAAGCAACTAACTGAGATCATGTGTCTTACAGGCAGTCTAGCGACAGAAAGCATATTAGGCCTTTGGTTTCTTCGTCCTTAAAATCAGTTTAATACTTAAGCTATCTACCTAGCAGGTCCATAGCAAAGATCAAGCAAAATGATCTATAGAATACTTCAAAGAGTCATATAAATAAAAGCTATTGCAATGTTAGGTAAAAGATGCTTTAAAACCCTTCTGGAGAGGTATTCTCTTGGACCAACTTTACGAAAATGCAAACATCTCTAGCAGCCATCCTTATATACAAACATTATTAAGGTGACAAAATGGGAAAACACAGAGAGGAATATCTGTCCCAGGGACATATCAACTCCCTCTGGGAATGTGCAGTGACTGGAAAGATGCCAACTGGAATTCAAAGCTCAGTAGGGGAAAGAGTGGTCCGACTTCTCCTGGGATGAGGGAAGAAAAACACAATCCACTCTCACAGTGAAACCACCTAGTTGAAATTTCTCTGTTGAAAAAAGGCATGTGAAGACATGTGTCATAGCCATCTAGGTCCCCTTTGTTCTGATTTGGGACATACTATGATGCATGAAGTCCAACCAGGAGCTGCTCCATTCTGCTAGAACCACAGACTGACCTGAGTGGCTCCTGAATATATATATATATATGTATATATGTGTGTGTATCTATCTATCTATCTATAGGTATATGTATATATGTATGTATGTATATATGTATGTGTATATACATATATATACATATACATACATGCATATATATACACACATATATAACCTACACTGTTCTGTCACTGATAGCTATCATCCCATATTTCTCTTCCATTTTGTGGCTAACTCCTTGAGAAAATCATCTTTACTTCATGCCTCCTCCTCCTCCTCTCCTCTTCTTCCCTTTGTGAATCTGCAGTATGGCTTTCTGACCTTATCATTCAACTGAAACTGCTTACTCTAAAGTTACTAATGATTTCTTAATTGCCAAATCTAATGGCCATTTTTCAGTCCCCAACCTTCTTGACTTCTCTGCAGCTTTTGACACTATCAGTCATCCTTTTCCTTAATATTCTCTTCTTTCCAGGTTTTCTTGACACTAACTTCTCCTGGATCTCCTCATCCTTGACTGACCGCTTGTTCTCAGTCTCCTTTGTCCATTAATCCAAACATCTCTAGCAACCATCCTTATATACAAACATACTTATTAAGGTGATAAAGTGGGAAAACACAGAGAGGAATATCTGTCCCAGACATGTGTGAGCCCCAAGGTTCTGTCCAGGGCCTTCTCCTCTTTGCCCTCTATACCATTTTACTTGGTGATCTCATCAGTATCCATGGATTCAATTATCATCTCTATGTTGATGATTTCCAGTTCTATTTATCCAGTCCTAACCTCTCTTCTGATGCCCAGTCTAACATCTCCAACTGCTTATTGGACATCTCAAAAAAGGATATCCCATAAATATCTTAAACTCAACATGTCCAAAACTGAATTCGTTATATTTCCCTCCCAAACCCTTTCCCCTTTCCAGTTTCCCTTTTCCTGTAAAGGGCACCACCATCCTCCCAGCAACCCAGACTCACAACCTACATATCTTCCCTCTCAACTCTTCCCTTATTCCCACTCCTCACATCTAATCTAGTGCCAGTTCCTGTTGATTCTATCTTTATAACATCTCTTACATCTGCTCCCTTCTCTCCTCTGACCCTGACTCCACCTTGGTGACGATTTTTGTCATTTCGTGCCTAGACTATTACAATAGCCGGCTTATTGGCTAGAGTTCCCCACTCCAGTCTAACCTCCATTCAGCTGCCAGATTGATCATCCTATAGAACATCTCATCATACCACCACATCACCACTGTTTGCACCCTACTCTCCACCTGCCCCCACTTGCCCTGCCATCAATTCAACCAACAAACTCCAATGGCTCCCTATCATCTCCAGGATCAAATATTAAATCCTCCATTTAGCTTTTAAAGTACTTCATAACCTGTTCCACTCCTGCCTTTCCAGTCTTCTTATACTTTACCCAAACATATTCCACAATTCAGTGACACTGACCTCTTTGCTCTTCCTACTCAAATAACCCAGTCATATCTGTTCCCTGCCCTCCCTGATCTCCCTCAACGTTACTGTCTTCTCTCTGTTGATTATCCTCCATTTATCCTATATTTAGCTCGTTTGTACATGGTTGTTCACATGTTGTCTCCTGTATTAGACTGTGAGCTCCTTGAGAATATGGATTTTTTTTCTGCCTTTAACACAACGCCTGGCATATAGTAGATGCTTAACAAATGCTTGTTGATATGCCTAAAGGACTATAAAACTGCATACCCTTTGATCAAGCTATACCACTAATAGGTCTGGATCCCAAAGAGATCATAAAAAAAGAAAAAGGACCCACATATTCAAAAATATTTATAGCAGCTCTTTTTGTGGTGGCAAAGAATTGGAAATTGAGGGGATGCCCATCAATTGGGGAATGGCTGAACAAGTTGTGGTATATGAATGTAATGGAATACTACTGTGCTATAAGAAATGATGAGTAAGCAGATTTCAGAAAAACCTGGAAAGGCTTGTACGGACTGATGCTGAGTGAAGTGAGCAGAATCAGAACACTGTACACAGTAACAGCAACATTATGCAATAAGCAACTGTGATAGACTTAGCTCTTCTCCGCAATACAATGATCTAAGACAATTCCAAAAGACTCATGATGGAAAATGTTATCCACATCCAGAGAAAGGACTATGGAGTCTGAATGCAGATCCAAGCATACTATTTTCTCTCTTTTTTTTCTTTCTCATGATTTTTATCTTCTGTTCTGATTCTTCTTTCACAACATGACTAATATGGAAATATGTTTAATGTGATTGTACATGTATAGCCTATATCAGATTGCTTGCTATTTTGGGGAGGGAGAAGGGGAGGGAAGAGAAAAAATTTGGAACTCAAAATCTTATAAAAGTGAATGATGAAAACAAAAATTAATTAATTAATTAAAGACAGCAGGAGCAGCTAGGTGGC